GTATTGACCTGTGAGGTCTGAGAAGGCCATGTTGTAGATGTGGTTTCGGGACGTAGCTCCATGCATTTATTACTAGTGACTGTAACTTCAGTCAAACGGAGATGTACACACAACAGTCATAGGTATATGAGTATAAATAAAATCTCGGAAAGGGTTTCTGGTGTAAGCCATAGTTTCTGCTTTATATACCTTCACCGTTTTGTACTTTTGCCTTCCTCGCCGCCCTATAAACGACTTCTGCGATCATCCCGACGAGTGCAAGACTCATAAAAATGGCCATGACGACCAACAGACCTTTCTGGGTGGCTGGTGCTTTACCAGATAACAAGGAGATGGAATCCCTGTCGGGGTCAAAAGGCTGAAAGCGAATAGGCAAAATAAAGAAATAATAATAATAAAGTGTCTTATCGTTTGTCTCACGATGTAGTCACTTGAGATCTACATCTATCTACATCTCAAGTGACCACATCGTGAGATAAACGATAACACACTATTACTGCATCTACCACGATGAACAACAACAACCTTTTCCTCGACAATAAAGAAATACTCTAGAACTTCAATTAGTGACTTAACTGATCATTTTGTGAAAGATTATATGTATGTGCTGCTCGGTAGTGATTGGTCTTAAATGAGCGATAGAAGGATTCCTTGTTAAAAAGTTTTCTGCTTTGACTGGAAGTAATAAATTTGCAATTTATTTTGACATTAACGCACAGGGCTTAGTGGGCGTTACCGTTTACATGTTGGCATTATCTGTCTGTTTTTCTGCCTGTCCGCCTGTTTGTCGGTGGGTCGGTTGTCTATTCGTCTGTCTGTCTGTCTGTCTGTCAGTCCATGTCTGTCTGTCTGTCTGTCTTTGTCTGATACTATTATTGTAGTGTCCGCCAAAACGTCCATTTAACGATTAGCACGCGCAAAGATACTTAAGTATATTACTATATATCTTATTTGCAATTTATTTTGACATTTTCTGTCTTTCTGCATGCCTGTCCGCCCGTTTGTCGGTGGGTCGGTTGTCTATTTGTCTGTATGTCTGTCTGTCTGTCTGTCTGTCTGTCTTTGTCTGGTACTATTATTGTAGTGTCTGCCAACATTAACACGCGCAAAGATACTGAAGTATATTACTATATATCTTAGTTTTCCAAGAAAAGTCAGCACCCTCAGTCACTGTTTTGATTTGGTTATCAAACTCCACCAACTATGTAGTGCATTAAGAAAAATCTGTATGCTGACACTAGGATCAGAAAATTGAAGCTAAAATGAAATGTAGTCGTTTAATACCTTGACTGGCGGAAGATATTTGACGAGCAGACTATCTACATTTGAATTTTCAATATGCTTTTTGAAGCATGAATTCTGGTCCAGTAAACCTCTAAGCAGGCCACTGCCATCATCAGGTACTGCAAGGTAGTAAGGGGTTTCCTCCAAGAAGTTTGCAAACACCATGAATCTCGATTTATTGATTTCTTGTAAAGTGTGCACGGCTCTGTTTCTGTCCATAAAGATGCCGTCTATCCCATCGTTTTCGAGTTCGGTGTACAGCTCGTAAACTGTAGAAAAAACTAAAAGTAGTGCATTTCGTCATTCATGTACGGTTATGAAATACAATGTACTTTAAAATGCGGCTTACATAGCTTTGAACGATAATTGGGTGATGGTATAGGGTCGCTGCGGGTTTGACACGCCCCATGGGGATCCCCATATGAAAAAGTTAGGACTGCTCGTCGGAAAACTTAAAGTAAACCACTACAGGGGACCGATATATCTAAGTG